TTCAATTGTTTATTCACTTTTGAACACAGGAGATTGAATGGAAGAATCCCATGGAATCATCTGATCAATAAATGGCCCAACTAAGATCAATTTTGTTATGATAGCTCTTGTCCACTTTATTAAAATAGAATGACTAGCTGGGCTCAGTGGCTCAGCCTGTAATCCCAGCGCTTTGGGAGGCTGAGGTAAGTGGATTGCCTGGGCCCATGGGTTCGAGACCCGCCTGGGCAACTTGGCGAGACCTCATCTCTACAACAAATCAAAAATTAACCAGGCGTGGTAGCACGTGCCTGTAGTTCCAGCTACTTGGAAGGCTGAGACAGAAGGATCACCGGAGCCCAGCAGGTCGAGGCTGCAGTGGTCAGGAGCTGCCACTGCACTCCAACAAAAAAATAGAAAGACTAAGTGCCATCATAATTCTAGAAATCTTTTTTTTTGCCATGTGATACTGTTATTTATATTTCAACACATTTTTTTAAAATGGAAATTCATTCTTATTGTTTGGGGTAAATGAATGGATTAAAGGCTATATATATTTTTGATGGTTGATCTTAAGCATGTGTATGAAGGTACAAAATTGAAGTAGTATTGTTATTTAAAAATAATTCTAAATAGAATTAATGTGACTGTCAGTGGGGTTTCTTCTCTTAAAAAGATAGGGTCAAACTCTACATGGCACATTGCTCTCTCCTGCTAGATTTTTTTTTTTTGCCCTGGGCCTTTTGCTCCTGTCAGGAAGCTTTCCTTCAGAGTAAATGATACTTTTGCAGGTTGCTGGAGTATTAATTATGCAATGCTGTATTTTGAGATGAAATTGCAAATACAATTAAACCGTTAGACTAAACCTAAAAGTTTTATTATCACTTTAAAAACATCAAACAACTTTTCCACTTGTGTTCGTAGACCGATATTCCCTTTTAATGCATTGAAACTGTGATGTGAGCCAGGATTTCAGACATCCAGAGGTCATAAGCTTAGAGGTCTCAAATTCTGTGATTATAGGATGAACAAGTTTATTCTCAGAACCCCAGCATTTGCAAGAAAGAGTTTTTTTTAAAGGGGCAGAACAAAATGACAGTGTTTTAAACAGGCTATATTTCCTTGTAGCTAAATATTGAGTCATTTATTAAAAATAATATAGGCTGATTTTAAAGCAGAGTCAATGCTATCACTGGGATGTGACCTTTGGTGATCTCAGTGCAGACTATTGATTGAAACATGCCAGTGAGTGCTAAGTGCCTCATTGACCTACTAAAGCTGTTCTTCTAGAGAAAATTTTGACAAACATGGAAGAGTGTCTTGACCCTTGCCGCTCAAGATGGTGGCTGTGATTTGTAGGATGATTTGCAGTAATGTTTATGGGCAGCCAGGATGCCAAGGTGTCTTGAACAAAGAAAAGTTGTCTTCACCTTTCCCTCCAGCACTGTAATATTAAAGGAATTGCACAAGTTAAAAAACTGGTTCTTGAGGACTTTCTCAACTTTTCTGCATAAGTTAAAAAACTAGTTCTTGAGGACTTCTCAATTAAACCCCTAATATTAGAAAAGAGCTGATACGAATCGTGTTAGAGGCGCATTTATAAGTAATGATATAGGTTATGTCAATTTCATTTTTCATAGAACCCATAATCAGACATTTGACACTGGGATTTTTTACATAAACATAACATAGTCATTTAAGGACATATAATGTTACATTTACATGAATATACATGTTTCCGATCTTCTACAAGAAACAAAAAAGTGTCACCCTCCTCAAACATTTTTCATAATGCCTGAGATGATTATATTTGTTCACAAATGAATCTTAGATGTCATAAACCCAACCACATGACACTCATAGGTGGTATAAAGGGCTGTGCTGGGGCTATCCAACTCAGTTTTGATCACCTCATAAAGGACAGGATTCCAGGCAAAGTGACTGCTTCCACTGAACTTGTGCAGACCACTACTGATGCGCCTAGAGGATTTGCAAGGGAAGAGCAACAGTCCCTACATATTCCTGAGGTGCATCATTTGGGGATCATTCCTTACAAATTTGCCTCAGAGTGAGTGCTATAGGTCTTAGCATCACAGCTATTTAAATTCTCTCTCCTGTGTGTGCTTACACACTGTTCAAACACAGTCTCTCACACTCAGTGTTCCCAAGTCACATCCATTCAGCTAAGATGCTAGATTGGAATGATTTCCAGTATAAACTGCTGTACACAGAGCAGGCATTGAACTCATGATGCCCAATACTTGAATCTTTGCATTGTATATGACTTCACTTAAATTCCTTCTTCTTCCTTAATTTTTTTTTTTTTTTTAGAGACAGGGTCTCACTGTGTTACCAGGGTAATCTTGAACTCCTGAACTCAAGCGATCCTCCTGTCTCAGCCTCCTGAGCAGCTACAGGTGCATTCCACCACGCCCATCAACTCCTTCTTCCATTTTGGTAGACTCCCCTAGTGGCTCCACTGACCTCAGTTAGGGTTAATTTTATTCACATTTGTTTTTATATCCTTGACCTTCAAAAAGGTTAGAGTTTGAGTGCTTTTTTCTATTGCCAAGGGTAATTTTGCCTCGGTCTAAATTACAGGTAATTCAATTTCGATCACTAGATTGCTCAATACTTTTCCTTTTCTCCATAGACTATCTAATGCCTAAAAAATGTCTTTTATTGATTTTGTTGTAAAATACAATTATGATTTTTGTTTCAATTTTAATAACTAGTAGTTAAAAATAGCTACTCTCTTTCTTCAGATTTAGCTACAGGTCAAAAAATAGTCAGTGTGCTTATTTGTAAAATAGGGAACTTGAACCAAATAGCAGTTTCTCATTTTTTTCTAGCAACTAAAACTTTTAATCTTATTTTAAGGATAAAGTTTTAAATGATGCCTTCATAAGTAAAAATGACATTTAAATAAAAGGGAATTTATTTTAATTAATAAGAAAATTTGAGTTCAAATTATGAATGATATTTATAAACCTAATTCAGCATCTAATTTTTTTGGTTTAGTTGCAAATAATTTTTAATATCTATATTCAATGAACAGTTAACAGATCTCAAACAGAGATCTCTTAGTATACTTGCTTGCTTGTTGGTTTTTAATTCCTTGGATTGTAATCTGAGGATATTCCTCCTTAACAGAGAAAACAGGAAAAGCTATATTCTTATAAACGTTCTTCAAAATGTGTGCAGTGGGTTATTCCAGTTCCTTCCTCTGTGATCTCTAGCGTGAGCCATCATTTGAATGTGTAATGTTCTTAATAAATGTTAAGATATTTACAATTATACTTGAAATTGTACAAGATGGTGACTATAGTATTCTTGAAAAATGTAAAAGCAGTTGAATTTGTATGTTTTCTCCACAAAAAAATGAAAACTATATAAGATAATTTATTTGTTGTTAATGAGCTGGAGTTGATTGTTTCACAACATATGTACTTCAAAACATCATGTTGTAAATGATAAAAACATACAATGTCATCTGTCAATTAAAAAATTTTAAAAAATAATCAGATTGAATTTTGAATAAATTTTTCTGAGATTCATTATTTGTTACTCATTTAAGTTTTTCTGCTTAATCTGGGGTTCCTCAGAACCAAACTGAACTCAATAACCTCTACTAACTTTGTAATGCTAGTCACAATTTGATATTTCTGTGCTATTGTTGTACAGATATCCTAGTTTGTTCCAAATCTTTACCTTAGCATACCCATCCATAAAGTCTAAAGGCAAAAGAGCTCCTGGAGACATAATCTTTCTGGGAATCTTTTTTTCTTAAAGATTTTGACATTTTGTTTGTTTAAATGTTAGCTTAAGACGCTTGCTTAGAGTGTTTCTCTATTCAAGTAACACGTGCAACATTTCTACACTAGCTATTGTCTTTGGTTATGAGCGGCGATAGTTCTGTTGGTCTAGCATGGAAACACAATAAATGAATAAATTTATCTCATTTTTTAAAATATTACATTTTTATATGGACAGAGTAGTTAGTATATGAGTGAAAAATTCATTTATAATAAAAAAGGGGTTATATACATTTTAGTCTGGGTAAATAAAAAAGTAAATATTTTTATTTTTATTTTATTTTGTTTTATTTTTTGAGTTGGAGTCTCACTCTGTTGCCCAGACTGTAATGCAGTGGCTGCTCCTGACCACTGCAGCCTCGACCTGCTGCGCTCCGACCATCCTTCTGCTCTCCAAGTAGCTGGAACTACCGGCGCGCACTACTACGCCTGGCTAATTTTTTGATTTATTGTAGAGATGAGGTCTTACCAAGTTGCCTGGGTGGGTCTCGAACCCGGGGGCTCGGGCAAGCCGCTCACCTCGGCCTCCCAAAGTGTGGGATTAGGCTGAGCCACCGAACCCGGGCATAAGTACATATTTTTGTTACCAAGATTTCATCATCTCTTTAAATTGATCTGCTAATCATTTTTATTTATGGCATTGTAAAAAAAAAAAAAAGATTTTTGTTAAAGCATGTATATTTTAAAGAATATTTTATTTTCTTAAAACTTGTTAGCCAAAAACCTGAATATATAAATGTTTGAATTAACTTTAGAATTAAATAATTTTCTTTAAGCAAATCAAATAAATCAAGAAACATTACAAACATTTATTGTGATTTTTATAAACTATCAAAAGCTACAACATTTTTGCTGACTTTCCTGGATTTTTGTGGGTCTTTTAAAGGTATGAACCGCCACTAGAAAATTAAGACTGGTGTAATGCTGATTAATAAAATCTATATATCTGTAACTTCTTGTCCAAAATACTATCTACTGCTTGAAAACAAGTAAATAGATGAAGTAAGGTGTGTATGAATCATTAGAAACTTACTACATTGTTCTAGAAAGAATATTATTTCTTCATTGTTATACATAGTATGATTATTCAGTTCTAACAGTCAATGCCTTACTTATTTTCTCCTGTATAATATTGTTCACACCTTTAGTATATTTTATACTTTTGAAGTAAAACCTTAGTAACATGTGGAAACTTTTTTTTTTAAGGGAAGAATAAGGAAATATCAACAGACTGAAAAAATGTTTTCAAAGGCATAGAGTCTTCAGGAAGATACTGAAGTTCTGAGATCTCAAGGTTAGCGGTTTATATATTATTATTTTCATGCTTTTACAGATTTGAGGTATACTCTGTGCAACTGTTCCAAGTTGTTACTGCTAATGTGTAATTGGATAATAAGGAAAAATGTTGTTACTTAAAATGCATATTTTTAACGAAATCCTCAAGATTTGTAAAAACCCACTTATACCAAAAATGTACTATTTAGTTACATTAGGAGTGGTTGAAAGAAAATATTGTTTTAATAGAGAACCATTGGTTATTATAATTTGCTTCATTTTTAATTCATATGAATAATCAAGATCTTGGGGATCTTTTCTAAGTTGTTTAGAATCATAAACCTGGAAAAGAAGAAGCCTATCCATTATTAAACAGCTTATTACAATAACAAACCGATGTGAAATATTCATTTAGAAGTTATACATATCAGTTAAATATAGTTTGGGGTAATGCAATAACTTGAGAAAGTAGATGATTTCCAACTTTTTTATACTGTGAGGCTCAATGTCAAATATTCACAGTTTTAAATGAGAAAAAATGCTGATGGTCTTTTATATTTTTGTCTTGGACAGGATTATCAGTGTCTATATCATTTTCGTTTTTATCATTTACTCATTTGTTCTTTTATTTAGGACTTATGTATGCAAGATGACGGGCTAAATGCTTTGGTTGTTTCAAAATGAATGAGATCTCGTCCCTGTCCTCAAAAATTTCCAATATGTTACCCAGAAATTAATTGTATTATTAACTCAAGCAACACATAATTAAAGAGGCAAGGTAGATTTTTAAAGGGCATGTAATTAATTCTAAGACCAAATAGGAATTATTTGGGGATTATTCATATTTTTACACTATGGTTTTTATTAGCCTGAAATATTGAGAGCTTATTCTAATAAGAATGTTACTCTATTACAACCCACACCCAACTGATTTTTTATTAAAGTAGCTCTTCAAATATAACAGAAGTGAGTAATATGAGATTTTGAGAAAGAAAAGTATCTCTTTTGCCTCAATAGCAAGTTTAATGTTTTAGGAAATAGTTGTGCAAACACCTATAAAAAGAGCAAAGGTAGCATTGCCTATTTTTAAAAATTCCAGTACATTTGATTTTTTTTTTTTATTAAACTCCCAGAGAATTAAATCATTTCCCCAATGACCTAGAAAGACTTGTAGGTTTGGAAGGGATTGAACACTATAAACCCCGAAGGGATCATATGCAAATAATAGCTAGGTGAATGAAGAGATTTACAATGGAGTGGATGTCCAAACTCTACTTGAAACAGAATTGCACAGCACTGTGCTTCTCAAGAAAAGTTTTTTTTAGTTACTATTTTAAGAAGTTAAAGCAAGTAAAGGAATTTAAAATAGTAAACTTCTGTTTTGAAAAGTCAGTGAGATACTCTGATTTCTTTTTAGATCATATAAGTCTTTCACCTTTTACTGACAAGTCTGTGAAGGTATCTTTTGTTTGTTGTGCTGTTAAAGAAGTAGTTTAATATATGTAACAATCATAATCATTCAATAAATATTTATCAAATGCCTACTATGTGAACGGAGAGTGGAGACAGGGTAAACAAAATACAATACCCATGCCTGGGTGGAAACTACATTCTAGTGGGGGAAATAGGTAACAAAAAACAAAATTAATTCTGTGCTATGGTTGATGGTTGTAAGTACCATGGAGAAAAAGAGAAAAGGAAAGGGACTATTGAGTACAAAAAAGGGATGAAATTTTAAAATAAGCCTAATGACCCAGTACTACATAATGTACACAAATGATGTAGATGTTCACTTTTGTTCACATAGTACCTTCCGCCTCAGCCTTTCCGAGTAGCCGGAATTACAGGCGTGCGCTACCACGCCCAGCTGATTTTTGATTTATTGTAGAGATGAGGTCTCGCTGCCCAGGCGGGTCTCGAA